TTTTGGGGTAAATAATATATTCTCTTGAGCGTTGCCCCAGCCGTCGTGCTACGAGTTTTGGGGCACTCTTCTCTAGTAGAAGCCTTCTTGTAATTTCACCAAACTATAAGTTTTTCAGTACATATCTTCAATTCGGATAAACCTGCAAAGCCCCAAGGTGAATCCTCAAGGTAGATACTTCGATACTTAAATCAGCAATAATCGGATCTACTTTTAGAATAATGAAAAAATGAGTTTTAGGTTGGTTTCAATTACCTATCTGAGGTGGCCTTTGGGGGGTATTTATAGGCTTTAATGAGGTGTTCACGTGGCTTATTTAACAAGATAATCGGAGTCTGACGTGTCCTTTCAGGTGATGATCTCGGGATTGGAAAATTAGGTGCGGACATGCTCACTGTACCTGTCATATAGCTACTTGACCGAGAAGTGTTGGATTTATCCTTCAATTCGGTTGTTAACGAAACGTAGCAATATGTCCGAGGTTAAGAACCTCTGACTTATCTTTACACTATTTCCCCTCAAAGTTATTCACTTATGAATGATGTTGTTGGAGGTAGTAAGAGTAGTGTATAATTATTTGGAAAGATAAATGATGAAATATGATAGAATATTAGAGTTGTGTTACTGGGATCATAACTACAAATAAGAATTGTTGACTCAAAGTCACTATGGCTGTAGCCGAAGTACAATTTGTGACTCATAGCCATGGAGGTCGAAACCAAGGTGAAATACGTTGACACATGGTTATTGAGGCTATAGTCGAAGTAAAATACGTGACTTGGGGTCACTATGATCGAAGTCAAAATAAAATAAAATATGTGACGATGTCACTGTGGCTGGATCCGAGGTAAAATGTGTGACTTGAAGTCACTATAATCGGAGCTGAAATAAAATATGTGACACGGGGTCACTATGGTCGGAGCCGAAATAAAATGCGTGACTTGGAGTCATTATGGCCGAAGTCAAAATAAAATATGTGACATAGGATCACTGTAGCTGAGATAAAATATGTGACATAGGATCACTGTAGCTGAGATAAAATATGTGACATAGGATCACTGTAGCTGAGATAAAATATGTGACATTGGATCACTATGGCCGGAGCCGAAGTAAAATATGTGACACGGGATCACTGTGGCCAGAGCTGAAGTAAAATGTGTGATCAGGGTTACTATGGCTGGAACTGAAGTAAAACACTTCACATGGTGAGAGATATTTGCAGAAATAAAAGGATTTGGGTTGGGTTTTATTGGGCCCATCTGAAAAGCCTGACACAAAGTTAGTACGTGATATGACAGCTGTCTTTAGAAAGACGTGTACAATAAATAACGGCTCTAAAAAGCAACTGCAATAGTTCAAGAGACGCAACTGAAACTGAATCGTCGAATTTGGAAGGGTTCCATTAGGATTGAACTGTCAAATTGAAAGGGATATAATTGTAACCATTAGATCAAATTAATCACAACTGTTGAAGTGCATTTTGCTTTGGTATATATAGCTATACTTCTGTAAAAAATATTTAACCTTTGCCGTATTTGCTACCGAAGTGCTACTACAACTTCATTTGAGCCTGTACGTTCTAGTTTTTGCACTTTGTTTTTTGACTTCTACGCCAATTTCACAAGGCTGAAATCAGGTAACTTGTGAATTTTAGTGATTCTGATTCTAGTGAAGAGTTTTATTCTCCTTTCACCCTTTCTGACTTAAATCTAAGTTCTCTTAAGAAGGTTAGGTTTAGAAGTGAAAGTGACATTAAGCGTGAGTTGGAATTTTTTGAAGATTCTAACTACATCCCCCCTCCTACTCTATGCAGTGAAAGTTACGAGATTGAAGAGATGTATTTTAACGAAACATTGAGCGTTGGGGGGAGCGAGGAAGTAAGGATGTTAGAGTACAATGATGTGGGTATGGAGAGTGGGTCGTTTGGGTCAGAGAGAACAGGGGGAGAGATGGGTGGACAAGAGATAGTTGAGGGTGAAGGTGAGGGGGAGGGTATTCCCCCAAATATTTTAGAAATTGATAATGGAGTTGATAGGTGTTATGATATAGAGGCGGATATTGTCTCCGAAGTGAAGGGGTATGAAAGTGAATTGGGTACGAGGGATAGCCTCGTTTATTTAGTTGAAACCTATGACCTTCCTCCCCAAGTGTTGATTAAGCTTGTTGGGGTGGAAGAAAGGGCATGCTCGGCACCATAGGATCATTGGATGCCTATGTATGCTCATTATTTGGCAGCAGGGCTTAGGTTTCCAATGCCAGAGTTGTTGGTGTGGTTATTGCTGGAGTATAACGTAGGTTTGACCCAATTAGCTCCCAAGTAGTGAAAGTAATAATTGGATTTATAGTATATTGCCGAGCTAGGGGGTTAGGGTGGCCACAGTGAATATGTTTAAATACTTTTTTGTACTTAAGGCTGGGAGTAGGAAAGAGAAGGGGTGGTATTATTTTACACCTCGGTTGTCCAACAAAGAAAAGAGGAACTTGTTTAGTGCAGAGCCTTCATCCATTAAGGGATGGAAGGAAAATTTTTTCTTTGTTGATGACACTTAGTGGAAAAGGGGGGGATGGTGAAGTAGAGTTTTTGTCTACCTGGAAAGTTAAAAAGGCCAACCAGAATAAGTATAGTATAAATAGCCAGGAGGAGGAAGAAGTAGAGAAGCTGATGAGAAAGGAGGGTGATATGGTGGATATTATGTTTCTCACCAGCTCAGATGTTATAAAAGCAACCGAGCTCTAATGGGCCGAGCTCAATGAGTGCAGTGTGTTTGTACCTTGTGTTATATGTGTAGAAGTTAAGTTCTGACTTTTTGTTTTTAACATTTTTGTTATTTTGTGGCTAAGATGGACAAATTTTTGGGTGCTGCTGGTGGAATGGCCATTCCCAAAAAGCCAAGGAAGAAGTCAAAGACTTCAGAAAATGTGGCGAGT